GGCATTCTTTCACTTTTTTCACAGCTTTGGGTTATTTTTGCATCCCATTTTGCAGCTTTGTGTTCTTGCGCTCCTTTTTGCGTCTCGGCGTTCTTGCATCGCTTTTTTTGCATCTCTGCGTTTTTGCGTTGGTTCTTGCGTATTTGGATTCTCGCATTGCTTTGTTGCGTCTTTGAGTTCTTGCCACGCTCTTTTGCACCTCGGCAATTTTGCGTCTCGGCATTTTTTGCGCTTTCGCATTGGCTTGGCAGTTTTGCATTCTTGCCTTGCTTCTCGCATCTCCGCATTCTTGCACTTCTTTATTGCGCCGTTGCATTTTTCCACTTGTTTTTTTGCATCTCTGCATTTTTCCACTCGTTTTTTATGCATCTCTGCGTTTTTGCTTCTCTTTTTTTGCCTCTTGGCATTCTTGCCCCTTTTTTTTGCACTTTTGCATTTCTGCATTGGTTTGGCACCTTTTGCCTTCCTGCGTTGCTTTGTTGCACCTCTGCATTCTTGCGCTCTTTTGCATCTTTACATTTTTACAATCGCTTTCGCATCTTTACATTTTTACACTCGTTTTCGCATCTCTGCGTTTTCGCGTCGCCTTTGGTTTTTTTGGCACCTCGGCATTTCTGCATTGCTGCTTTGCACCTGGGCGTTCCCGCGCTCCTTTTTGCATCTGCGCGTCTTTGCGTCGGTGCGGCAGTTTTGCCTTCGCGCGTCGCTTCTCGCATCTCCGCCTTCCTGCACTTCTTCATTGCACCTCTCGCATTCTTGCAGCGCTTTTCGCGTCTCCGCATTCTTGCGCGCTCCTTTGCACCGCTGCTTTTTTTTTAATTGATTTTGCCATTTTGTATTCTTGCCTTTTTTTCTACGTCTTCGCATTTTTTAGTCGGTTTTGCGTTCTTGCGCTCTTTCCTGCTTCTCTGCGCCTGTGCATTTTAGCTTTTTCTTTTCCCTTCGTTTCTTGCTTTTTAGCATTCTTGCCGTGTTTTTTTTTTTTTTTGCATTTCTACGTTTTGCATTACTCTCTGCATCTCCACGTTTCTGCATTCTTTTTTACATCTGGGCACTTTCGCATCACCTCTCGCTTTTTTTTTTTTTTTGCACTATACCTTTGCTTTCCTGCACGCCGGTTTGCATCGGGCTTTTGCCGTTATTTTCTGCATCTTTTGCATTGGAGCGTTGTTTTGTGCGTCTCCGCATCTTTACGCTTAGCTGTTGCTTTTTGGTGTTTGTGCATCCAGTTTTTTTCCTCTCTCAATTTTTCCATTATTTTTCGCTGCATTATTTTCTGCACCTTTCAATTTTTGCATTATTTTTGCATCCTTCCATTTCTTCATCGTTTTTTACATCATTCCATTTTTGCATCACTTTTCACATCTTTCAGTTTTTGCATTATTTTTTGCACCCTTCCATTTTCACCTCTTTTTTTTTCCTTTCCATTTCCGCATTTTTTGCATCATTTTTTGCAACATTTTTTGCATCCTCCTATTTTTGCGCTCTTTTTGCTTTCAATTTCTGCATCATTTTTTGCATCCTTCCATTTTCGCATTTTTTTTTTTGCATCTTCCCATTTCTGCCTCATTTTTCGCATCCTACTATTTTTGCATTACGTTTTGCACCCTTCCATTTTTGCATCATTTTTTGCAATTCCGTCCATTTCCGCAAACTTTTTTTTTTTTTTTTTTTTGGCATCTTTCCACTTCCACATCACTTTTTGCATCCTTCCATTTTTGCATCTTTCACTTCTTGCATTATTTTTTCGGCGGCCTTCCGTTTTCGCATCATTTTTCGCATCTTTCTGCGTCGGCATTATTTTTTTTTGCATCATTTTACGCATCCTCCTATTCTTGCATCACTTTTTGCGTCCTTCCATTTTCGCATCCTTTCTTGCACCCTTCCGTTTCTCCATTATTTTTCGCACCCTTCCATTTTTGTGTTCCTTTTTGCACCCTGCAATTTTGGCATTATTTGTTGCACTCTCCCCTTTCTGCCGCCCCATTCCCACCCCGTTTCTCACCCCCCGCCGTGTCCCCCCCCCTCAGGGTCTCCATCCGCCTGCCCAGCACCAGTGGCTCCGCGGGGGTGCCCCCCTACGCCGCACCCCCGAGGCGTCCATCAGGATGCCCCAGTACACGGAGCACTTCATGGCCTCGGGCTACAGCACCATCGAGAAGGTCCTGCAGATGACCAGCGAGTGAGTCTGCGTCCCCGTGGTGTCCCCCATGGTGTCCCTTTGGCACTCCCGTACTGTCCCCATAGTGTCCCCGTACCATCCCTGTGCCGTCCCTATGGTGTGTCTCCTTGGTGTCCCCATGGTGTCCCCATACTCCCCCCTTGGTGTCCCCTTGGTATTCCCATACTGTGCCCATGGTATACCATCCTCTTGGTGTCCACCTACTGTCTCCTTGATGTCCCCATGCTGTCCCCATGGTGTCCCCATACCATCCCCATGCTGTCCCTATGGTGTGTCCCACTACTGTCCCCTCAGTGTCCCCTTGGTATTCCCATACTGTCCCCATGGTATGCCCATACCATGCCCTTGGTGTCCCCCTACTTGTCCCCATGCTGTCCTTATGGTGTGTCCCCTTGGTGTCCCCCTACTGTCTCCTTGGTATTCCCATGCTGTCCCTATGGTGTGTCCCCTTGGTGTCCCCATACTGTCCCCTTCGTGTCTCCATACTGTCCCTATGGTGTGTCCCCTCAGTGTCCCCATACTGTCTCCTTGGTATTCCCATACTGTCCCCATGGTGTCCCCATGCTGTCCCTGTGGTGTGTCCCCATACTGTCCCCGTACTGTCCCCTTGGTGTCCCCATACTGTCTCCTTGGTGTCCCCATACTGTCTCCTTGGTGTCCCCATACTGTCCCCGTACTGTCCCCTTGGTGTCCCCGTACTGTCCCCATGCTGTCCCTATGGTGTCTCCATACTGTCTCCATACTGTCCCCGTGGTGTCCCCCCACTGTCCCCTCCCAACTCCCATGGGGACGGGGACGTGCTGGGAAAGGAAACCGCTTCCGTGGCGTTGGCGTTGTTGGCCCGAGGGATGGGATAAAATTAGATGTTCCCTCGCCGGGATCCGGCCGGAGAGGTCGGGATGAGCCGTGTCCGGCTGTCTGTCCCCCGGGAATGGCCCGGCTGGAGTCAGAGGGGGACAGTGATGGGTCCCCAAAAACAGGGGATGGGGCTGGATCTGGCCCCAGGAGATGCTCCGGGCTGGATCCCACCCAGGAGGTGTTTGGTGCTGGATTTGTCCCTATGGGATGCTGAGGGCTGGATCCGTCCCCACGCAGGATTTGGGGCTGGATTTGGCCCCAGGAGATGCTCAGGGGACGGATCCATCCCAGGAGGTGCTTGGCGCTGCGTTCAGCCCCGTATCCAGCGGGTCTTTGGGGCTGGATTTAGCTCCAAGGGATGCTCAGGGCTGGATCCATCCCTGGGGGAGGGCGATATTTGGGGCTGGATTTGGCCCCACGGGATGCTGAGGGCTGGATCCATCCTCAGGCAGGATTTGGGGCTGGATTAATCCCTATGGGATGCTCCAGGCTGGATCCATCCCAGGAGGTGCTTGGCGCTGCGTTATGCCCCGTATCCAGCGGGTCTTTGGGGCTGGATTTGGCCCCGAGGGATGCTCAGGGCTGGATCCATTCCTGGGGGAGGGCGATATTTGGGGCTGGATTTGGTCCCACGGGATGCTGAGGGCTGAATCCATCCTCAGGCAGAATTTGGGGCCGGATTTAGCCCCATGGGATGCTCCGGGCTGGATCCATCCCCAGGGGATGCTCAGGCCTGGATCCGCAGGAGTTGTCCCGACCCCCCCGCCCCAAACCCCTTCTCCCACCCGGACCCTTTTCCAGCTCTTTCCACCCCAATAATAAGTTTTTTTTTTTCTTTTCTTTTCACCTTATTTCCAGCGATATCAAGAAAATCGGGGTGCGTTTGCCGGGGCACCAGAAGCGCATCGCCTACAGCCTGTTGGGGCTGCAGGAGCAGGTCGGCGCCGGGGGGGTCCCCATTTAACCCCACC